TGTGTGTGTGTGTGCGTGTGTGCGTGTGTGCGTTTGTGCGTCTGTGTGCGTGTGTGCGTGTGCGCCTTTTTGAGGCTTTGCTTGCCTACATGGAAGTGGATTTCTGCAAAAAGCCACGTTTCCTTGCTCACTTTCTCACAACAGCCCATCAGACTCCTTGACAGTTGGAGCCAACCCCACACCCAAAACTCACTGAAGCCCAGAGCCGCCAAAAACATCGCAAGCACCGTGGCTTCGCCAGGAGCGTGTTGCAGGGCCTCATCTCTGGCGGGACAGATGTGCCCGTAGCCCAATGGCAATCGCTGACAAGGCAAGAGACCGACAGAAGAACAGGGCACTGGTTGAGACTTGTAAGTGTTTTGTGCCAAAGGAATCGGGCCCCAAAATGATATAAAATGATGCTGTCTTACTTTTGGGTACAGCACCCTCCAAAACAAGCGCACACACAGACCCTTTCTCTCATGGACACTCTGATCCAGCTACACCTTTCTCGGTGAGAAAGGCATGCAGAAACAAATCGCCAGCGAACCCTTAAGACAGATGCCAAAGTGTGAAACTGCTGCCGTATGCATGCCATCCTTGACAGGTATAGCCCTGCAAACGCATCCCGGCTACCGGAATGCCAACGCACCAAGACTTGGCAACTCGGAATGAGGGGGCTTGCACAGATCTATATTGAATCTACATATCTCATCCGTTTGGGGAAAGGGTCAGAGGGGTGCAGGAAGAAACAAGCAATGGCCCTTGGCTGCCCTTGGCTTTGAGATAGAAGACACTGGGCACGAGTGACATTGGTCTTTGTCGATGCTTCCTGACAAAGTTGAGTATGTTTGGGGACCCTTCAGATGAAACACTGCAACCTGCCTTGGGGAGGGGGGGAATTTCATGCGCATTTGCACGCTTCTGTAAACGGAACAGAACGGCTCTTACAAGGGGCCCTCATATCCGTGTCCGATGGTCAGATTTTTCAGTTTCAGTCGCCCCAGGAGCCACGCGAAAAATTGTATGGGGTCTGTCACTTTTTGGACTTGGCGGGTAACTTGTAATTTGTCGAGCTCTTCGCTGCATGCGCCTGAATCAACCCAATGATCAATCTTTGGGCTGGGCGATCGGGCCTCGGGAAATCCTGGGCTGATTGGGCCTCTGCCCTTGGGGCCCTCAGGTTCTGGGACTACGTGAGCTCCATGGATGCAGAGCAGCGGTCGCAGCTGCTGCAGTGGATCACCGGCTACCGGCGCATCCCCCCAGGCGAGCGCACCGTCAAAATACGACTTTGGTGCCGCCCCTTGTGTGCTGCCCCCTAGCTAAGTTTGACCACCCCCCAATGGTGCCGAGTTGCACCCTTTTCCCCACAAGGTGTGCCTTTCCTCCTTGTGATTCAGCTGGCCCGAGTGTTTGTGCCAACCTGAAAGAGATCAGCAAGCGCTTCCCGGAACAGAGGTAGTCCTTTTACTTGTCCATAGCAGCTGGCCTCAAGCAAATCAACATTTTGAGCTGGAGGGTTTACTTAGTTGCAGTCCAAAAATCGGGACCAGGTCTGCAGCATTCACATATGAACAACGAACTGGTGGATTAGCAGAGCCCAGGCATAGAGGGCTCAATGTGGTTTGCACTTTTTGAGCCTTTGTTTTAAGGTGACCTTGCCATGTGACCATGTGTGCAAGTGTGTGCGCATGCGTATTTGGGTGTTCTTTACACAAAACCTTTGTACGGTGGACACTTGGTAATACACGGCCACGTTTGCAAAGCCCAAATCAGCCTTTCATCCAATCCGTTGGCTGAGGTCACTCCGATTAAGTCGCGGAAGTGATGTGAGGCAACTCGACTTTGTTGAGATGGCTGTTTCCAGCCAGGTGGCTTCCCGCCGCCCGCGCCGTTCATGACGCTTCACCTTGTTGACGAGAGCCCCTTGGCCGGAACTGGGCGGGAGTTTTACCACGAGCTGGGGCGACACGGCTGGCAGGCAATAAAGTAAATAAAGGGGTGAACAAGGGTAAACAAGTGGGAAGATGTCTGCTTAAGTCTTAAGTGGGGAATTCACCTAGATGATGCTAAGGGCTTGAATAAAGGGTGAACAACTAAATTCTCAACTGCAGCTTGTTTCCTCCCTGAGCGTGGGCTGTTGCCCGGCCTCTATGGCAAGCTATCTTGTTTACAGCTGAACAAGGCATGGGGTGAGGCAAGACTCAGCCGGCACATGTGCTTTCAAGTAGCTCGAATCAGCAGGGTCAGACATCTTGTTTGCCAGAAAGCTTAGCCACGAGGAAGATTGTGGCTGAACCGAACATTTTTAGCCACTAGATCCAGGCCGCACGAATTAGCTTTGGCGAGCTTTAAGGCAGTCCGAGCCAAATAAATCGACAGGCGGATCTTTTGAGAATGTGACTTCAAGTTACGCCATCAGCATGCCAGCCAACTGCTTTCAAACCTACAAGTGTTGGTCTGAGTTGCGTTGATATCCCTTAGGTCGGAAATATTTGGCGACTCTTGGGCCGAATTGAGGCAGGGCCGAACACCAAACCAAGTTGGGATCAAGAACCATATGCGGCATTCTGTCGTTTGGCGCAAGCCTTGGTCAGCGAGTAGAAGCGGCCAACCGCACACATGTTGGGGGTGAAATCAAGAATGTTAGGTTTTGTTTACCCGCACAAAATTCACCATCAAGTCTCTCCAAAACTACTGCGTACCTGCTCATTAGCATGTTCTTTTTGTTGAGCCGAACTTCTTCCGCTGAAAATCAACAGGGTCAAACAGAATGCCAAACAGATATTTCTGAATTGTGCCACACCTTGATGTCATTTGCCAACCTGCACTTGCCCCAAATTTCACCTGCGCCTCACTACCCTCAAGCCTTGGCAGCCAACCATAGGTTTCTTGAACCAAAGCATCGCCACATCGACCTCGCTGTTTTCCAAAGGCGACAGGCTGCCCACAGCGCACACCTGCGGACTCCAGCTGGACCTGCCCGGGCCTCATGTCCTTTGTACTTGGTGGCGGTCGCGCTGCCCGAGTGAACGGCTTCTTGCCCCCAGAGGGTTCCCTTTCAATTCAACTACTCGTACCAAAGCAAGAGCGTTCGTTTTCCCATTTTTGGAAGATATTTATGTTTACTGCACTTGGGTTTTAGGGGTTTGGTAGGATTAGTTCGGCACGCACGGACGGCCAATGCCTCCAACAAGCTCCGGTTGCCCGTCTCGGGAAGCGTGAGGCATGGCTCGTGCGGCGCCAGAGGCGTAGGACAATAGGTATGCGGTAGGCGGTATTGGTCAGGGTTTGCCTTTACCAACTTGGCTTTTGCGGTCAATCGTCAGATTTAGAGAGGATTGGAGAGCATAATGCAGGTTTCAGTCATTGGGACAACTACAACGCCAAAATGTGAGAGGAACAAAACATGTTGTTTAGAGGTAGGCTATACAATTGAGATTCTGAACTCTGAACATATCAGAACCGCGATTTTTCAACACCGTAAATGTTGTTTGGACTTGATAGGATGTAGAGCCTTATCCATGGTTTAGGCACTTGGACAACTACAAAGATGCGCCACCCACTGACGTGATTTTGCAGCAGGCCTTTATGGAAAGCAACATCCGCCGTTCAGGCGTGCGGCAACAACCCCTCTTGATATGCTGTGTCACGCTGTTTCCCTTTTGGAAGTACAGTCAGATTCCAGTGCTCGGACATTGGTTTGTTTCACCCGTGGGTTTCCTGCTACGTGTGCTTGGCATCGTGCTGGAGCTTAGGATGCCCAAGACTTCCAAAAACCTACTCAAACCGACTGCCCAGCTTGTCGGTGGGAAATTCCTGAGCCGTTTCGGCGGTCTTTTGGCGGAAATGGGATGGACGTCCCGAATCATAGAGTGTTTGGTGCAAAGCGAGGCCCCGGAAGTACCGATCTGCCGAAGAGCTTCGCAATCGCCTGAGCCAGGCAAGTGCCTGTCACCAGTTCTATTTGGCCTAGAGGGCCAAAGGTGCCAAGCCTAAAGGGGAATGCGCCAAACGGTTTTGAAGCCTTTCGCTTTTTGATTGCTCACTTTCTTCTTGCTCTTCTCTCATTAGGACAACAAGTACGGTCATCCAATACGGTGCTGATTTCGCGCATTCCCCAGCAGCTTCCAACCTGCTTGTGCGTGTCTGTCGATCCTGCGACGGTTGTTGCGGTGCGCGGCTCAACATTCTAGAAGGGCATTTGCCTCACAGAGCCTTCCAATTTGTCCTTGGAACACGAGCAGGCGAGACCGGCACGACCCGCAGAATCCACCTTTCGTTCCCAGAGTAGGCGCCCATCGCGCTCACCTGGACAAGGAGTGTCTTGATACGTTGAGGAGGATAGTTCTTAGCTGGGACTTCTCAGAAGCATCCCCAAGTCTCGCTGCGCTTGTGAGTGCCGCTCGGCTGCCTCGCCCTGCGCCGGAGAAAGGAAAGAGAGATAGCACTGCTAGCAAGCTGCGCAAGCCATGCCATCCATGGACCATTGACATGCGATGACATGCGGTTGTTGTGAGCTGCTGTGGCATGTTTTTGTAGCTTACCACAAGTTATGAATATTGGTGCTCACAAAGTTTGGTGGAAAGGCATCTCTGAAGTGTTTGTTTGCGTGTAGTACCAACCAAGAGTCTTACAATTTGTTTCAGTGATAGTTTGTCCTTGGTGGAGCACGGTGTCCAATTCATGAGGTCTAAATGCAAGAAATGGCTGAATGGGGGCATTGTCCACTGTTTCGTCAGCTGAGCTGCCGAATTCTTTCCCCTTTCAGCGCAAAGCTCCCTGACCTGTTGGCATCATGCTCCGGATTGCCTATGTTGCCAAAATCATGTCACTAACGCATTGAGCTGGCGCACATCCCAGAAGCCCTCGGTTTTCCCTGCGAAGCTCGTCGAAGTTCGGAACAGAGACTGGAACAACTGCATCCCTAGCCCACCCGACACCACCCGACCCGACCCGACCCCCCCCCCGCAAACCCCTCCACCCCTTCCCAACCCCCTCCATCCCCCCACGACCAGGCAGCGCAAGGGGAAGTGAAGGATCCCAAGAAGCGGCTCAAGGCCTCAGAGCTCCTGCAGCAGGCGCACTGGGCCAACTGGGCTGGCCTAGGTGTTGGGTGGGCTGCTGGCAGCACTGAATTCTCTATGTTTCGTTGTTTCTTTGTTTGTTTAGTTGTTTCTGCATGCCTTTCTTTCTCTTTTCTCTCTTCTTTCTGTCTGTCTGTCTTTCTTTTTTTCGTTCTTCCTTCCTTCCTTCCTTCCTTCCTTCCTTCCTTCCTTCCTTCCTTCCTTCCTTCCTTCCTTCCTTCCTTCCTTCCTTCCTTTCTTGTGTGTTGTGTGTTTCTTTGTTTGTTTGCTTGCTTGTTTGTTTCTTTGTTTGGTTGGTTGTTTGCTTGTTTGCTTGTTTGCTTGTTAGTTTGTGTGTGTGTGTGTTGAGTGTTTTGAGTGTTTTGAGTGTGTTTGTGTGTTTGTGTGTTTGTTTGTTGGTCGTGTTTGCTTCATGTGTTGTTTGCTTGCTTGCTTGCTTGCTTGCTTGCTTGCTTGCTGGCTTGCTTGCTGGCTTGCTTGCTGGCTGGCTGGCTGGCTGGCTGGCTGGCTGGCTGGCTGGCTGGCTTGTTGGCTTGCTTGCTTGCTTGCTTGCTTGCGTGGGTGTTGCTCGTTTGAGTGTTTGTTTGTTGGTGCGTGTGTGTTTGTGTGTTTTGATTTTGTTGGTTGTTTTTTTTTTTTCTTTGTGTGTGTGTGCCTGTTAGTTTGCGCGTGGTTTGCTCGTTTGTTTGTTTGTTTGTTTGTTTGTTTGTTTGTTTGTTTGATTGATTGATTGTTTGATTGATTGATTGATTTTTTGTTTGTTTGTTTGCTTTGGCTTGGTTTGGTTTGGTTTGGTTTGTTTGGTTGGTTGGTTGGCTGTGTTTGCTTGTTTGTTTGTTTGTATGTTTGTTTTTTTGGATGTTTGCTTGCTTGTTTGTGGTTTGATTTGTTTGTTTGGTTTGCTTGTTTGATTGTTTTGCATGTTTTTGGTTTGTTTGGTATATTTGTTTATGTTTGTTTCGAGTATTGATTTGTTTATTTGTTTGTGTGTTTTGTTTGTGTCTTTGTTTCTTTGCTTGTTTGTCTGTTTGTCTGCCTGTTTGTTTGCTCCCGGGCGAGCAGTAGCCTGCCTTTGCAGGCGGCGGAGAACAGTAAGTCAGACATCTCAAAGAAGGAGGAGGCAGGGCTTCGAGGCTCGCATCATGTCAATTTCTTTTCCACATGTGACGCGGATATATTTCGTTAAGCGGCCCAGGTGCGAAAGCAACGTGAGGCAAGGCCTGAGAACACTCCCAGCTCGAAGCGCCTAAAGCTTTGAGCCACTCGGCCTCGTGGCCTTGAGCGAGCTTTCAGCAGGGCAGTGTGGCACGGTCTTTAGAGAAACTCCATGACCTCAGACCATTGCAGATCCTATCCGCCAGCGGTGATGGCCGAGTCTTGGGTTAACGGCGTCCCTTGGTTTTGATGCGCAATGCTTTGCTGACACAAGTTCAGGGTCTGTCTCACCCCACGGGTGGCATCGCAAAGCCATGCCGTTAAAAGTGTGTGCAAGATTTGGGCGGAACCTGGGGGTAGGGTGTTTGTCTCTCTCAGTGATCCTAGGTTCAAGCCCGAGGGCCCTGAAAGCCAGCCGCGAGCCATCTTTGTCCTCTGGAGCTGGCAAGTCATAGTCAAAAAATGGGGATGTGTCAAATCTGGAGGCCTTGTTCGTGGCTGCGTCCCCGGCTTTGGTACAGCCACGAGTCGTTGGCTTGCCTTGGGGCCTTTGGCAAACACGCAGGCAAGGGCTTTCTGGGAGGTCTTCCATTCACCACCCCGAGCCGGGTACGGAGTGTTACGAACCGGGCAGCCACGAGGTAGCTAGCATAGAAAGCATTCCAGCTATCTTAGCAAGAATTGTGTGACGGGCAATCAAGTGCTGCCTAGCTGCTCATAAACCAGAAATGCAAGACGCAAGGCTCATGGCAGCGTTGTTCTTGTAGTTCTGCAGTGTTGGAGTGGATGTATTGACCATCTGCATAACAAGCAATCTGAAGATCATTCCACTCATTTCCGGCTAGCGAAGAGATGCAGGGACTTGTAGCGATTCATCCCAATTCATGCGCGGAGCGCTTGCCTCGAGCTATAGAAGTCAATGCGGGGCAATCTTCCCACTACAAGCTCCGCTTTTGCGTAGTAAAGAGCAGCGCCTCCTTTTGCAGAGCAGTCAAGACTAGTCAGCAAGTCGCATGTGCAGCGCTTGATTCAAACAACAATTTGCCGACAGTCGCGGACCAATCATCATGCAAATACTAGTCATCTTTGGCAACGCCCAATCCCCGCATTCGCCCCTCCTTGATCGTTGAACTTTTTGGCCGCCCACAAACGTGGTTCTCGGCTATGCTTGGCCTGAACTCCTTCCGCTTCCTGCGCTTCCGCGTCGCTGGGGAGAGTGGCACTTTTCAGGTGGCTGTGCCACTCGTCTCTCGCAGAGCTGCGGGGTCCGCTTTCAGGATGCAGCCGTGTTGAGCGCCCCCGATCTGAAGCATCCCAAACATTTCACGGGACCATGGCCTAGTGAGACGGCACAGGAAAAGATACCCAACGCTGAGATGGCATGAAGGCATGATGCCTGTTTTTCACCACCCTAACGTGGTTCCTTGAAGTGTGCAATAGCACCTTAGAGCCTGAAAACAGACAACCTGGTACTTTAGAGACTCCGGCTCATTCCGCCGACTTCTGGTGCGCTCGGCGCCCCGAACCCCACACGAACGACGCACCGCCGGACAACCCTCAGAAAGACCATTGAAAACTGACAAAGGAAGCCCGAACCCAACCCACCGCTTGCGCGCAGAACCCCAGAACCCCCACGCCAAACGCGCACCTCACTCGCCACGCCCGCGCCGAAGAGCACAACCGCGAGAATAGCTCGCCACTCACTATGCCGGCACCCCAAACACTACTGAAAAACAGAAAAAGGAAGCCCGAACCTAAGCGCGCAGACACCTGAGAAAGCCCAGAGAGAACCCGGAGAAAAGCTACAACCCGCGCACAAAATACGCACCTCACCAACCACGCCAGCACTATCCGAGGAACCCCACCCAAAAAGCAGTCGGCGCACAAAATGAAGCCCGAACGCAAGCGCGCAGAACCGCGAGAAAACCGAAAGAGAACCCAGAGAAAAGCTACAGCCCCCACGCAAAAACACGCACCTCACCGACCAAGCCAGCGCCCAAGAGCACAATCCCTCGAAAAGCCACAAGCCCCAAAGAAAAGCACACCTCACACACCATGCTAGCGCCCCAAAGACCAGTGAAAACAAAAAAATAAAGCCCAAACCGATTCGTGCGGAACCCCTAGAAAACCCAGAGACATCCCATGCCAGGCCAGCAAACCCAGAGACATCCCATGGAAAAGCGACAAACTCCATGCAGAAACGCATACGTCACCCATCCGCGCCAGCGTCCAAGAGCCCCACGCAGCACCGGCCCGGGCGACCCAAGAAAAATTTGAGGCCGCCGCCCCCGCGAGCCTGTGGAAAAGAATGGAACGTCATAGAATCGCGGCACGTGCCGTCCCCCCGCCCCGCCGTTGTGGGCGCGCCCCCCCCTGCCTGGGGGATTAGGGGGAAGTGTCCAACAACGCCGAACAGAAGTCGACGAATTCGGCCACGCCCAGCAAATCTACCTCCCGGTGTTCTGAACACCGGCTAGATGCGGTGTGGTGAACATATCCCCTTAAGACTATGGTTCATTTCGGAGGGACATGGGAGATCTCAACACATGTCTGACAACAATGAGGGGGCTCTGATGCATGTTGTTTCAAACAGCCGCTTTGTTTGAATATAACTCGACATGGCTATGTTGCAGATGTTTCCTTGGGATTTCATTGGGAGACCAACTTTGCGCTTGAGCCTCCGGCGGTTCTTAATTTGTACAGCTTCAACTTTCTCGAAACCAATTTCCTGGCCTTTGAAAGCTCCCAGTTTTGCCGGTCAGCTGCTTGCTGGCTGCTGGCGTGTGGTTTTGTCATCTATAATATTGCTGGGACACCCACTGATCCAACACATGTGATATTTGGATGGCTGATAGATGAATGTATAGAACGCACGTCGGTCCCTGGAGAGCAGCAAGTGATTGCCATTTGACAGATGTACAGCCAGGTAAACGGCAATCTATTTCCCCTTCAGTTGCTGCATCTTGACTGCCGCAAAAAATCACTGGTTGGTTGGCCTCTTTAGTAGGTCCTGCCCGAGCATGAGTCTTTCAATGCGTTACCTCGGTCATTTCTTGAGTTCCCCGATTTGTTGACGGAGGTGATCTGCATCTCCTTTCATAGATTCGTACACTATCCCGTTGGTGTCATCCTTGACAGCATGTTTGTCACCGGCACACGTAGCTCCATTGTACCTTCAAACCTGTTACACATGCGTGTGTCTTGTTGGGGGGACACGCATGTTTGTTGCAGCAAGTAACCCTAAGCGCCAGCGCTTCGCACTTGAGGTACGATGGTGTTTGCGCTGACTCGCTTTCTCGGGCTGTGGCAGCTCGGGCTGCCGTGCCGCAAGAGGCGTTCTATTGCACGGCTACCCAAGAGGCCTGCCGGTCGATGCGTGCTTTCGGGACTTGGTATATGCAGTCCAGTATCATCAGACCATGTTGTTTTTGTCCAGAGTTTGACAAATAATCAATGGCGACAGTGTGCTGTCAGCTTCTTGTTTGTTGTTGCCTGCCTGAGGGCATTTGCAAGCTCCCGGCCAATAAGGGAAACGGGGAAAAAACCTATTGCTTCTTCCAGACGGGGAACTTGCGATTGCCTTCACAATCCTGGTTTAGCCATCGGCCTGTCCCAGAATGGAGTCGAAGCCTAGAGGCTCCCAAAACCAGATCAACAACGTCGAATTTAACAAGCAGAGCCCACTCGCAAATGAATGCTCGCTTGAGAATTCAAGCTGCAAATGGGATGTTCGAAACTTTTTGGTGTACGGGCCAAAATGCAAATCTCCGGACCCACCTCACACGTGACATGCCCAGCATTCCCACTGGGAATGACTTGGCT